TGGCTAGGATCACCAAGCAGTTGAGAATGGCGATAAATCACAACAACAACAACAACAACAACAACAACAACAAACCCCGTTCATCTTGCTTTATTTATCTCGGTGGCTTGCCTGTAGGCCTCTAGTTGTCGCTGGACTACAACTCCCATCAGTGTGGTGTAGTGGTTAGGAGCGGTAGACTCGTAATCTGGGGGGCCGGGTTCGCGTCTCTGCTCCTCCACATGCAGCTGCTGGGTGACCTTGGGCTAGTCACACTTCTCTGGAGTCTCTCAGCCCCACTCACCTCACAGAGTGTTTGCTGTGGGGGAGGAAGGGAAAGGAGAATGTTAGCCGCTTTGAGACTCCTTTGGGTAGTGATAAAGCGGGATATCAAATCCAAACTACTCTTCTTCTTCTTCTTCTTCTTCTTCTTCTTCTTCTTCTTCTTCTTCTTCATGCCTGACAACTGGCCAGGCTGTTTAGGGCTGGTGGGAGCTGCAGTCTAACAACATCTGGAGGACCTCAGGTTCCCTGCCCATTTTAGGGAAGCAAAAGATGGGATCCATCCGAGACAGACCCCGTGCAAGAAGAAGGAACTGGAGCCAAAGCTAAAATTGACAAGAAACTAAGAATTCTCATCTTCACTGAAGGGCAGCAGATGCAGAGCTGTAACTTGCCCTAATGCCACAGGGATTCAATTCACCTTTTAAAATCTACTTCACTGAATCCATCATGGCAGATTTGGAGGTAAACACAGGAAGCAGAAGTCATCCTACTTGTAAAATGACTTTGTCGGATTCGCCCCACGATGTGCACATGTTGTGTTGACATCTGAAAAAGGGACACCTACGTAAGCTTCAAAACCATCTCAAGCCCTGTGTGATCCATGTGAACGTAGCGCATGAAGTCCGCAAAAGGCAACAGGGTAGAGAATGTGTTTTGAAATGGCAAGGAACATGCCAACCGCCCTCAGCTACAATGTGTTGCTAATGAAGGCAGCATTGAGGACATCCAAATAACAAACTAAATCTCCATTCCCATGCTAAATTCTGGTCTGCTAAATAAATTACTAAGGCCATCCATATTATCATTCCATTTAGCTTCTGCAACAGATGTACGGTCCCTGCAGTTCTTCCTTGGTTTCTCAACCCTTCGCTAAACTGGTCCATGATGCAATTATCGCGCTCTGGCACAAGGGTCGACAGCTGGTAAGCAATAGGCAAAGGAATTGTGAAATTTGATAGGTAAGGCGTGTGGATTGATTTACCTTTTGAAACAAACCTGCATTTGAATTTGAGCATTTGAACAAAAGCTAAGGCTTTGATCCTTAGCACATTTTGTATTTTGTTCCTTGTAAGGAGGTCAGGGGAAACTGAGGAGGTTGTTCCCTAAGGAGGTTGTTTTCTTATTTTCGTAACTCATAAGAGTTTTTGACTCCTCTTTCTTCACTCTGTTGTATCCCCTTTCTTCCTGCTGCTTTCTAGAAGGCTTCAAAGTGGCAAAAGTGAAGAGCCTACTCTAGGTGCCCATGCTGTCTGAGGCAAGGCAGGTGGAGACCAGAGAAAGACTATCTTGGGGGAACACTCTCTCCAGGGATATTCACCCAGGACCAACCTAAGAACATCAAAAGAGCCTGTTGGATGATCGAGTCTAACATCTAGTCTAACAATTTTGCATAACGTACACATTTTCGCACAGCAGTTTGTCCTAATACAATGCATTTTGGCATGCCATTTTCACAGACACGTGCATTTCAGTGCACACTATAGCCTAGTGCATGCATTTCTTGATCGGAAAATGGCACAGCAAAATTCAGAGAAGCAAATTTCTAAGGACGGAGGTGTTCTGATTCACAAATTGCTTTGGAAAATGGGAACTGAGTAAGGTTTGCCTCTAAATTCGGAATGAATCAGATTTCTCCCCCACCCCTAATTCTGACCACCTCCCTGGCAGTACAAATACAACAATCAATTAAACAAGTAACAATTATCTGCCTTTTGTGGCAACTAAAATCAGCTTCCTGAGTTGGCCATCACATTCCGCATAACAGCAGGATCACAGGCCTTCTAAGAAAGCTAAACAATTGGCTTCCTAAGAAGATGATTAAACTATTTATGTATGTGACAACAGCAGCTGGAATATTATATGCACAGAAATGAAAAGAAGAGACGGAGGAGAAGCTTTTGAAAATAATGGGCTATTGCAAGACTTAGCATAGCGGCATGCATTTATTACATTGACTTCCTGCCTTTCCGTATGAGAAGCGCAAGTTAGCACACATGCTTGCCCCCCCCCCCCCCGTTTTAGCCTACAACAGCCCTGTGAGGTAGGCTTTGCAGGGAGAAGATGACTCGCCCAACTACGTCCAGTGAGCTTCAGGCCTCCATGGAGATTTGAAGCCCGGTCTTCCGTGTCCTAGTCCAGCACCCTAACTGCTATACTGCACTGCTTCTTTTGTGATTCTTCCAATGCTATGTGCACAAAAGGCTTTGACTGGTGTGTGGTGTGTGTAGAATTCAAACCGTCCCACCAGCACACAAAATGAACCATATTTGGTCAGTTCGGATTCTGTTTCCTTGTTCCCTCTGCCCCTAACTTCTGAAGCCTAATTACTGTCAAGAGCAGCTGTGTACGCTGCCAGTTGCCTTCCCTGCAATGAACAAGTTTTCAATAGACAAAACATCTATTCTGCTTCTAAATTTGTTTTTAATTTAGAAGCAGAATAGATGGGGGGAGAGGATAGAGAGGGTGCCCCAGCTGTTAACACCCCTGGCTTGGTTCAGCCAAAAGCAGACATTGAGCAGACATTAGGAAACACTTAAAAAAAAAAAAAAGCCTTGTAGTTTGTAATGATTTAATAGCAGACATTTCTGGCTTTGAGTGAACTCTGAAATATCCCTGTACAACAGGACAAATGATAGACTACTGCTATTAATTTTACCTCATAATGCCTGAAATGCTGCTTCAGAAATACATGCAGTATTTTTACTCGATTTTGTCAGGTAAATACTAAATTCTTTTGTCATAATAACTTTACAACACTGTGTTTCACCTTGTCTTGCCTTGACTGCCAAAGGTAATAGGGGTTGTTTTATTATGCCCATAAATTGGCTCAACTGACTTACCCTTATATCCTGTTTCCTGAACTTAACGAGAGATTCTGCGCTATTAGGGAAAACACATCATCCTACAGCAGGATCAAAACCAAAGGAAGCCCCGATGGTAAATCATGTTAATTTCTGGGAATCTTCACCAGGCAAACCTTTAACATTCCAGTAGAGCTTAAAATAAATTCAATATGTTCTTCGATGATCATTTTTGCTGGCTGCTGTGCAATTACATTTAATGCACTCTCTAAGATTCCTTGCACCAAAAACTTTGTGTTTCTTGGAATGGGACACATAAGTCGAGCTACGTCTGCCAAAAATTCAGAACCACAAATATTTACAAGAAAGAATCAAGTATGTGGGGTTCCAAACCAATTTTATAAAAAGTGTTGGGATGTTGCTTTCAACAACATTTCTGTTTTCATTGAAAGAAAGGGAGTTTTTATTGGTTTTTATATAGCAACCCAAAAGTAAGTTACAACAAACACTTTATCATTATATGTCTTTTTCCACCACAAAAATCCAGTCCTAATTAAGCTTAAAGAGCAAACAGCTGGAAGTTTCCTATATCAAAGCATGTTGTGACCCCAGGGGATGCCTCAGGAGCCATTATGCAACCTCTCATTTATGATGCAGTTTGGCAAAAGTTTCCACTGAATCCAGTCAAGACTCCTCCAGATAGGTTTCAGCCATAATTTGGAGGTTGAGGAGCTCTGAACATGATAGTGTCTGTGCAAAGAACCTGGATCAAGAGCACTGCATCAGCACACCTTTTTACAACCACACCATGAGTCCACAGCGGAAGGTATTCTGGAACTTTAAAAAGGTAAAGGTAAAGGTACCCCTGCCCGTACGGGCCAGTCGTGTCCGACTCTAGGGTTGTGCGCCCATCTCACTTAAGAGGCCGGGGGCCAGCGCTGTCCGGAGACACTTCCGGGTCACGTGGCCAGTGTGACAAAGCTGCTCTGGCGAGCCAGCACCAGCGCAGCACACGGAAACGCCGTTACCTTCCCGCTACAAAGCGGTACCTATTTATCTACTTGCACTTAGGGGTGCTTTCGAACTGCTAGGTGGGCAGGAGCTGGGACCGAACGATGGGAGCTCACCCCGCCGCGGGGATTCGAACCGCCGACCATGCGATTGGCAAGTCCTAGGCACTGAGGTTTTATCCACAGCGCCACCCGCGTCCCTTATTCTGGAACTTTATTCTACGTTTAATATTATCTCCTAAAGGCAATATGGTGGCATCATCATCTCAGCTATGCACACAACCTCCAGATTATGGATGAAACTAGCTTGCTTGAATCTTTAGAAAATTATTAATAATAATAATAATAATAATAATAATAATAATAATAATAATTTATACCCCGCCATCTGGCTGGATTTCCCCAGCCACTCCGGGCAGCTCCCAGCAGAATATTGAAAATGCGATAAAACATCAAACATAAATAATAATAATAATAATAATAAATTTTATTTATATCCCGCCCTCCCCAGCCAAAGCCAGGCTCAGGGCGGCTAACAACAAACAAATAATCAAACAATCAAATAATCCAACATTCTAAAACATTTCATTATAAAAATTAATTAAAATCAAATTAATGGCAACCGTTAAGCAAAGTTCTGTGCAGGTTGCCAGAGGAGGGAGTCAGGCTGGGCCCTGACCAAAGGCCTGGTGGAACAACTCTGTCTTGCAGGCCTTACGGAAAGATGTCAGGTCCCGCAGGGCCCTAGTCTCTTGTGACAGAGCGTTCCACCAGATTGGAGCCGCAGCCGAGAAAGCCCTGGCTCTAGTTGAGGCCAGCCTAACCTCTCTGAGGCCTGGGACCTTCAGGATGTTTTTATTTGCAGACCGTAGGTTCCTCTGTGGGGCATACCAGGAGAGGCGGTCCCGTAGGTACGAGGGTCCTAGGCCGTATAGGGCTTTAAAGGTTAAAACCAGCACCTTAAACCTGATCCTGTACTCCACCGGGAGCCAGTGCAGCTGGTATAGTACCAGATGAATGTGATCTCGCAGCGAAGACCCCATAAGGAGTCTCGCCGCGGCATTCTGCACCCGCTGGAGTTTCTGGGTCAGTCTCAAGGGCAGCCCCACGTAGAGCGAGTTACAATAATCCAGTCTGGAGGTGACCGTCGCGTGGATAACAGTGGCTAGGTCAGGGCGAGAGAGATAAGGGGCCAACTGCTTAGCTTGGCGGAGATGAAAAAATGCCGCCTTTGTTATAGCTGTAATCTGCGCCTCCATAGAGAGGGAGGTATCGAAGATTACACCCAAACTCTTAACGGACGGTGCTGGCACTAATTGCACCCCCGCAAGAGATGGGAGTTGCCCCCCCAATCCCATATCGTCCCGTCCCAGCCAGAGGACCTCTGTCTTCGAAGGATTTAACTTCAATCGGCTTCCACGTAACCATCCAGCCACAGCTTCCAAACATCTGGTCAGTGTGTCTGGGGCTGAGTCAGGATGACCATCCATCAACAGATAGAGTTGGGTGTCATCGGCATACTGATGGCAACCCAGCCCAAAACTCCGGACAAGCTGGGCGAGGGGGCGCATAAAGATGTTAAAAAGCATCGGGGAGAGTATCGCACCCTGAGGCACTCCACACACCAAGGAGTGGCGGGATGACAATTCCCCCCCAAGCGCCACCCTCTGTCTCCGACCGGAGAGAAACGAGCACAGCCATTGAAGGACTGTGCCCTGGATCCCCACGTCGGCAAGGCGGTGGTCCAGGAGTTCGTGATCAACCATGTCGAAGGCTGCTGACAGGTCTAGAAGAATCAGCAGCCCCGACCCGCCTCGATCCAGCTGCCTGCGGAGATCATCTGTTAGGGCGACCAGAGCCGTCTCGGTCCCATGACCAGCGCGGAAGCCAGACTGGAATGGATCCAGAGCCGATGTTTCATCCAGAAACCTACCAAGCTGTTCAGCAACCGCTCTCTCAATCACCTCACCCAGGAATGGAAGATTCGAAACCGGGCGGTAATTGGATAGATCTAAGGGATCTAATGACGTTTTCTTTAAGAGCGGGCGCACCACTGCCTCCTTCAATTCCCCTGGAAATATCCCGGTGCCAAGGGACAAATTGATGATATCCCCCAGGGGGGCCCGCACCTTGTCTGGACACGCTCTAATCAGCCAAGACGGGCACGGGTCAAGGGGACAGGTGGTGGGCTTTCCAGCTCGGAGGAGTCTGTCCACATCGGCTGGGGATATCCGATCAAAGTGGTCCAATACTGGACCCGAGGACAGTCGAGGGGCCTCCAGTTCCTTTATTGTATCCAAATTGGCAGGGAGGTCATGCCATAAAAAACTTCCCTAAACAGTGCTGCCTTCAGATGTCTTCTAAAAGTCAGGTAGTTGTTTCTTTCCTTGACATCTGATGGGAGGGCATTCCACAGGGCGGGCACCACTACCGAGAAAGCCCTCTGCCTGGTTCCCTGTAACCTCACTTCTCACAGTGAGGGAACTGCCAGAAGGCCCTCAGAGCTGGACTTCCTTTCTGGGCTGAATGATGGGGTTGGAGACACTCCTTCAGGGCTTTAAAGGTCAGCACCAACACTTTGAATTGTGCTTGGAAAAGTCCTGGGAGCCAATGTAGGTCTTTCAGGACCGGTGTTATATGGTCTCGGTGGCCACTCCCAGTCACCAGTCTAGCAGCCGCATTCTGGATTAGTTGTAGTTTCCGGGTCACCTTCAAAGGTAGCCCCACGTAGAGCGCATTGCAGTAGTCCAAGCGGTAGTCCAAGCATGCACCACTCTGATGAGACAGTCTGCGGGCAGATAGGGTCTCAGCCTGCGTTCCAGATGGAGCTGGTAGACAGCTGCCCTGGACACAGAAAAGAGTGGTTTTGACAGATTATCATAGAATTGTAGAATCGTAGAGTTGGAAGGGATTCCCAAAGGTAATCTAATCCAATGCCCTGCAATGCAGGAATCTCAGCTAAAGCATCCATGACAAGTGGCCATCCAACCTATGCTGTAAAAAGCTCCAAGGAAGAAGAGTCCACAACCTCCTGAGGGGGACCATTCCACTGTCAAAAAAAGCTCTTGCTGTCAGAAAGTTCTTCCTGGTGTTAAGTCGGAATCTCCTTTCTTGTAACTTACCCAGCTCCTTCAACTGTTCCTCATAAGACTTGGATTCCCTGCCCCAAGTTGTGAACAAGTCCAAAATAGACAGAGGAAATAGAGGCAGGAGTAGATGACGAAGAATATGGGTGATAGCCAATGTTTCTCAGGCTCAGAGTAGGTCCATTGGTCTCAGTGGATCTATTCCAAGGGTGACTTTTGCTGGAGATCACCTACAGTTGATTTTCCTCCACTATCATTCCCATAGTCCCTAAGGTAGGTTTTGAGGAGGTGTTTAAAGGAAATAAGTGGCTTCAGAGAGATATGTTGGCAGGAGTTCCAGGCATAAGGGACTGCAAGGGAGAAAGAATGAAATTGTTTCAGGGAACAGGAGGCCTTCAGGCAGTTGAAGTTGATGGAGCTGGACATGTACAGTAGTTTGCCATGCGCTTAATGGCAGACACAGGGAAAGAGCCATTAGTCAGGGATGGAATACATGAATTATAGACAGAAGTCCACAGGTTCAAACCCTGGCAGCAAGACATCACTCCTGTCTGCAGAGACAAGAGTGACCTAGATGGACCCAGTCAGAGGCAGATATGGGGGGACACAACTGGTTCAGTCACACTGGGCACAGAACCTCAGCAGCGCCACAAGGGATGTCACAACTATGATGCAGAATGGTAGGTGAAAGGTGGGGGAGCACCCAATGTTGGTGTTGTACAGAGCACTGCTGAAATTTGAGACTCCAAGGTCCACCACTGTCCCAATAGGTCTGATTTGGTATAAGCCAGCTTCCTATTTTATATCTTTATTAATTTAAAATAAATACATTTACGAAAAATAGATGTACATACAAGTAAACAAACATACAATCAAACAAACAAATAACAGAAAAATCACACAAACCACCACACTATAAGATATAAGAAGATTAATATAATTATCATCATATATACTCCTGGTATTGAACACCATTATAAAATTTATAGAAAAGAAATTTAAAACTGACTTCCAATTAATCTCACTGTACTTTGTCTATCCATTACTTTATACCTCACAGTTACATATTTCTTAGATAATTTCTTTTTACCTCCCTACAAACTTATATTTATACAATACAGGGATCAGTCTAATTCTGCCAAGATGTTTCCTTTTATTCCATAGTTTTCTAAAGATTCTTTAAAGATTCTCCAATCCTTGTAGACTTTTTGTTTTGGTTGGCCTCTTACTCTTCCTGTCGCTTTCGCTAGCTGCAGGTATTCTACCATTAAGATTTAAGGCAGCTTCCTATGTCCATCTGAAACATGTTCACTTTTCAGTTGTCTTAGCAGGGTGTTGCAGAGATCACATTCTCCGGACTACCACCCAGAGCTACCCCAGAGTATGTGGTGCCTCTCAGGGGAATAAAAGTGGGGAGAAGCCTTGTTACCCTAGTCTGACTCTTTGTGCTTGCTCCCACTAGCGTAACTATTCAGTTGTATCCAGCCCCATCCATTTAAAGCACATCTCCCCACACCCACCCACAAAGAATCCTGGGAACTGGAGTTTGTTAAAAGTTCTGGGAATTCTAGCTCTGGGGGAGTTGAACCCTGTGCTTTAAATGTGCCTTAAATGTACAGTTTATGTGCAGCCAGAATCTGCTAGCTGGGAACCCTTTGTTTTCTTTGGAGGCACGAGGAGGCCACATGGACAAGGAAAGGGCTGGTGGAGGGGGGAGTGGAGTTCATGAATTACTAAACCTTGCATCAGCCATCTACCAAACATACATAAATCAGGCCTTCCTTTTTCCAAAAGGCCAAGCTTACTTTATTACCTTTCCATTGGTCTGTTTTTCGTGGAAGCCCTCTAAGAATGCTTAGAGGGAGGGGAGGGAGGAGGAAGAAACACTTCTACATTTGTGGCAGCAGTTAAAAATGTTTAACACTGGCAAGCTTCCAATATATACAATTAAAATTACTGTAACCCTCCACAGCAGGATGGGAATTCTAGTTATCCACCAAGTTAGCACCATCCACGTAGTATTTAATAGGTGTATTTTGAAAGAGAACTGTATCATTAATTTCTCTTCACACATACACACACACCCCTATATGCATTCATTTTATTTTTATTTATAAAAATATTTCTGGACCGTCCCCGCATAGAAGATATCAAGGCAGCGTGTAATGAGATACGATAGTATAATAAAATGTAAAATACCATAAAAACAATAAAATAATGTATTTTTACCAGATGGGAGTTTATTCTGGAATTGGTGTCAATTATTGTCAAGTTTTTTTGTTTTGTTTTTTGCATCCCGCATTTTCATCCTCAAAATACCATCCCATTCTTTTTAGTTTTTAAAATATTTGATCCAGCTTTTTCCTGACTCTGGAAAATCTGATCATAAATAGCATCTTTTTGTGGAGGAGACGAGTACAAATTTCAGTGGGTGGTCTCAATTACTGCAGCCCTGCTTCTATACTCCCCACCAGAGCAGAACCTAGCTATTTTGTTTCCAGTGGAAAGGAAAGAAACTTATGACGATCATGATCATATGATAACATTGCTACATGCCGACTTCAGAGGAAATAGTCATTCAAGACCTTCACATGATAAATGTGTGGAGACTCGGCCACAATGCACATATTAGGCTTTTTAAATAATGATAACAATACAAGATACAAAAACCCAAAATGAAATAGATATTGCCCTCCTGGAGGCCACATTCCAGGTGTAGTGGGTGGAGACTGGAAGTAACAGTGGGCAGGAAAAATGAATATAACTCTTACCTTTGTACAATAGGCTACAAGCCCATCATGCAAAACTCTACACACAGAGATATTTCTCCCACCAGGCCAGCAAGAGTTCAAGGACACATTCTAGATAGAGGTCATGGAGCATGGCTGGTGAGTGGTCTGGGGAGAAAGAATGGACTTGGGATAGTTATGAGGACCAGATAGGCCTGGAGGTCTGCATTCACCCCAGGCCTAAGGTTTCCCACACTTGCCTTAAAATACTGCTTGATGGCGATTTGCCTGGGTTCCCCTTCATTGGAAGGCACTGCTCTGTGGTTTCCAAATTGAAAAGTTTATACTCAAAAAGTGGGTTGTGGTTGAGGAGACCTTATTGATGGGTTGCCAGCATCAAAGAAGGTGAGAACCCCACCTCTAGTTTAGTGACTTGAGCTACCTGATGTTTTCTACCAGAGAGAAACCATTGCTTTTCTGCCCAATATTCCCTGCTAAAAGGTTTTAACAAGATAGGATCATAGAATTGTTGAGTTGGAAGGGACCCTACAAGCCACCTAGTCCAACCCCCTGCGATGCAAGAATATCAACTAAAGCATCCATGACAGATGGCCATCCAGCCTCTGCTTAAAAACCTCCAAGGAAGGAGAGTCCACCACTTCTCAGGGGGGTCTTTTCCACTGTTGAACTGCTCTTGCTGTCCAAAAGTTCTTCTTGAAGTTTAGTCAGAATTTCCTTATAACTTGAAGTCATTGTTTTAGGTCCTACCCTCCCATAGGACCCAACTCCTGGGGGCTGAGGTCCCTACGCTTCCCCAATAAAATATCTGAAGGGGCCAGGGGCCCCCCCAAGTTGATGGGCAATGCCATTTGAATGGTGTGCATGTGCCACATCTTGTGATCGATTACGCAGGGTGGGGCTTACCTGGAAAACCCCCTCCCCCAACATTTTATTCAAGATGGCACCCTATACCCTCTGGAGCAGGAGAAAACAGGTTTGTGCCATCCTCCATGTGACAGCCATCTAGATATTCCAAGATGGCAGGCTATCGTATCTCCTCTCAGACTCCTCTTTCCCAGGCTAAACATACCCAGCTCCCTCAACCATTCCTCACAAGGCTTGGTTTCCACATCTTGTAAGTAGGCTTTGGCCTCGTGCGACTTAGCTCTGTTTGGATATAAAATATTCAAAACATTCCTGCAGTGCCAGCCTATTCATTTCGACGGGGGCAGGCTGTCCATCAGGGGCGTATTTAAAAGCCTCCACAATGTGACCTTGACAGTCTATCTCCTGTTGAATTAATAATCATCGCCTATATTACAGATGGCAGCCAAAATGACACACATAAAGCAAGCGTTTGATTTACTGCACTTCTATTTCAAAAACTCATCTGATATAGAGCGGTGCAACTCCCAGCTCTCCCCACCCCACACGCAACCCTGCACCAGCCCTGTTCATTTGATCACAGTAAAGTATCCCCAGTCACATTTCATACTGGCCATATATCTTGTGAAGCTATTGATAACCGGACCAGTGTTGATGGGAGACAGGCAGAAGAAGCCAAAGCTCGTGTCCTGAGCCGAGGATCTGCCTGACTGACCTTTCTGTCACATCAGCACATATGCACCTACAATATTAGGTTAATGTTATTGGGCAAAGTTTGGCCACAACTTTATTAATTACAGAATGTGAGCGGTATTGGCTTAGGCATTGAATGGACCTGACTATATCTGACTCCTGCCCGTCATGCAGGGAGTCCGGTAAGGATAAACCACAAGAAGGGGGAGCCCCGCCGATGCAAACCAACTCAAGCTCCCCCTAGGTTGTCGACGGGGTCGTGTCATGGCCCTAGCCCTGCCCCGGGCTTCGGACAAGATCCACACCCCCAGATTCCTTTAACAGAAGACCTTTAAGCTTGGAGGGGCAGGTGATGGCCACACCTTACCTCCCCCATCAAAAGGTCAAACAATGCCTAACCGCAAAACCTTTCAAAGTTGTGGCGATTGCTACGAGGTAGGTGAAAACCAAATGGCCCCAAGCCAATTTTGCCAAGTGGAAAAATTCCTAGCAGGCCCCTTAATGGCGACCAACCGTGGTTCATACCAAGGCCAAGAAGAAAAACCTGCATAATAGGGAGGGAAGGAGATCGAAGAGGGGAGCCAAGAGGAAGCCTTCCAGCTCCCGCCTTGGCTTAAATGGTCCCGGCCACGCCCCCACCAGCCAGCGGATTGGCTGGCTGGTCACTGACGCGGCCTGGATCCCCCGGGCAATGTGGGACTTCATCCCCGCCCCCCGGAGGAGAGTGGGTGGCCATGCGGTCCACCGCAACTCCTCCCCACGGTGAGGTGGAGTGGATTTGCAATACAACTGCACCATGGTTTTCCTGCAGGTAAATGAAGCAGGAGAGGAAGTAGTGGCAAGAAGCATTGTAGGAGCATCCATTTCAAGCCTCAAAATGTAGCCCATGCATAAATGGGGAATTCCCTGTGCAGTTAATAAAATTTATTATTTTCTAAATTCTTTGATGCTGGCCTTTTCATTTTGCTTTTCAACCTACATAGCTGAGGTATATGTGTGAATGCCGTGAACATTGGGGTTGGACATATATAGGTCTTCCCCATGTAATTCTTGTCGTGTGCTCCAAATGAATGGCAAACACAGACTTCATGTTTAAAGCTTTGCTGCTGCTGCTGCTGCTGCTGCTGCTTTTTGCATTACACTCTAGATTTTAGTTTATTTGTAGCAGCATTTTAATATGTTTTAAACTTTTGGATACAGCGTTTTTTGTTTTTATAACTCTCCTGTTGTGAAGCCATCCTATAAATAGAACAGTGAGGCACAAAGAATAATAAATTGCTCGATTACTAATGTATAAAATTGGCATCACATTTTTTCTCACCCCAAAGGTTTTTTTTAAGTTACTTTTGCTTTTATCCACTCATCGATCAGCAATAATACTCTTCTGACATTACTGATTTAGATGTGGTATGGTCCAAGATTTGATGAATGCCTGACAGCTGGCTATTTTGGCTGGCTTCATCGTTTGGCAGGCTTTGCAGAGTCTGAGCATGTAGCTCACTTAGGTTGAATTCACATGAGAAAATACAATACAAATTAGGTACATTCTGCAAGAATTATTTGGGAG